TCGCGGCAGCGGCGCGGTAGGTTTTCTGTTTTTATCACCGCGGTGCGGTAGCGGCGCGTTAACTTTTTTCTTTTATCGTCGCAGCGGGGCAGCGGTCAGTTTTCAACCGCGATGGACATCTCTAATTGATTGCAATTGTAAATGAGTAAAATAAGCAACTAATTTATATCAACGTTTTTCATCATCTTTCCCTTAATCTTCGTTTGTGTCATGACATTTGTCAACTAACAATATATTCTTTACATATTTCAATTCATTGTTCATCTTGAAATTATTCGTTTGTTTGTTAAACAATAAGCAATTTGAAGGCGTCCAACTAATTTGTCTAATTTTAATCCAAGTAGTAGATATCATAATTTTGGTTAATGTTCATTACGCCTTAATAATTAAAATAACTTTAAAATATTTATTAAGTAAACAAATAATTTATATATTTGAATAAAAACATACAAGATCAGGTGATAATTCAATTTCAGTGTCACGTCAACTTACATCTTCAATTTTTATTGCATCATCAGCCCAATCTTCAACACTTCTTGCTATTTCATCAATATGAAGGTTTGCAGCAAGTTTTGCTGTTATGTTTGATATTAAACCTGCTTTAATTCTTGTTGACTTCTTGGGCATGATGGTAAAATTAATTTAGCATGTAGATTTGTTTCAAGTAACTAAAAAGAAAAATTTTATTCTGAATTATGAAATTTAACACGAGATTAATATTGATTAAATATATGTCTATCTTAATACTTCATATCTAACATATCAATTAAATAAAGAACAAGTAATAACATCTTTGTTGAAATCTCAGTCTACCGATCTATTTCTTTTTTGACATAGAATATGAGAAGTCTTTTTACTTTTTTAAAATCTACATTCAAATGGATATCAATCAAAGCAGGAACACTAAATTAACTATGACATGATAATTTCTTGTAATCTATTTTCAAAAAAATCTTATCTGTCAATATCAAAAGCAACATTGATAATTATCATAAACTTCTCTATCCAATAGTACAGGAAAATCTTTAGATAAAGGATATGCTAGACATAATTAAACATTCTTATAGATATTATTTAGAATCTCAAAAGAATTGATATACTGGCACGAAAATTTTTAACTAGATTTCAGAACTTTTAACTGGAAATATTAGAAAACTATAAAATTTTCTATATTGTTTTTTTTTTTTTCTAAAGACCTTCAGAAGAAGTATTAAGATGAGAGTTTTTTTTGTTGTCAATAATAAATTACTTTTTCATTAAGTGATTCCAGTGTACAAGAAACGCAACAAATTTAATAATTTTCTCTTAGAAAAAAGAAAAGAACAATCTAAAATCTTACTTTGGTTTCATTGTCTAAGAAGTTTAATGCATTTTTCAACATCTCCTAATAGCATTGGAATTTGATCTTGTAAATAAATAAAAGTTAATTTTTCCCAACAATCTTTACCATCTAATTTTGGTCGAACTTCTGTATGAAAACAAAAAAACAATATTTCCATTAACTTTTGTTCTATAAATAGGTAAATCAACTGTACAAATAACTCCATGATCACCATTAATAAGTGCATACTTTATCATTTGGTCATATTGCTTTTTCTTATACTTGTTAATGAGTGCTTTTGTTGAGCATCATATAAAATAATATCATAATTTTCACGAATTAATAAAAGACGTGTACCAACTAGACCCCGTCGGGTAGGACCCGGACCCGGACCCTACCCGGAACCGCACGGGTCCGGGTCCGGGTCCGGGTCCAAAAATTTTACTTTGGCCGGGTCCGGGTCCGGGTCCAAAAATTTTATTTTGACCGGGTCCGGGTCCGGATCCGGGTCTGAAAATTTTGCTTTAACCGGGTCCAGGTCTGAAGAAAACTTTGATCCATACAATTTATTTTGAATTTTTTTAAAGTTTTGTTCGTTTTATACAAAGAAGAGATCAAATGTATTTAGAAAATAGATAAAAAAACAACAAAACCCTTCTTGACTATACTATCTAAACTGACTTGTCATTGTGTTTGGATCCAAAAAATTTAAGCGACCGGGTCCGGGTCCGGGTCCAGCAACCTGTAAACGGGTCCGGGTAGAAAAATTTTAAATGATCGGGTCCGGGTCCGGGTCCAAAATCCTGGGCCAGGGTCCGGGTCCGGATCCGGGTCCAAAAATTCTGGACCCGACGGGCTCTAGTACCAACCTAAAAAATTAATGAAAAAATTTAAAAAAAGAAACAAATTTAAACTTACAATATAATCTTTTTTATCAAGAAAAATAAATTGATTTCGAGCAACCAATATAGCATTCAAATCAGACAAATGACGCCCTTCAGGTTGACAAGTTGCAATAATTACAATAAATTCATATTTTACATATTAAAAATTGCGAATATATAATAAAATTTTTCCATGTTGCTGCTGATCTATCGAACAAAGAGGAAAGAATTCACTGATGAACACATACTTGAATATTGTGTGTTCGCCTGCTTCGTGTGCTCACAAATGAACATGACAGAGACAAGAATGAAAAACAGGTCCAGACAATAATTTTTTTTTCTTTTCTTCTCTCGTCCGTAAGTTATACTTCATGTTGTCATTGCTGATCAATGATAAAATGACATAATGAGTGTGTACGTCAATTAAGCATTATCCATACACATACATTGAGATACTGTGATTGACTTGATCTCAATGTATGCGTGTATGTTGATAATAGCTTAATTATTATCATCTTTTCATCACTCTCTGACGAGAAAAAAAAAAGAAAATTATCGACTTTTTAACGTATAAATATGAATGATTTTCCATGTAAAAATCATTCAATTTATTGAATCAAATTCTAATCTTTTCCCTAGACTGAAAGACTAGGGTCTAGAAACCGTAACTCACCTGTGTCTGTCTGTCCGTCTGTCTGTCTGTAACAAAGAGGTTGGCACAAATGACCATTTTTACGGTACAAATGACCATTTTTGTGGCACGAACGACCATTTTTATGGCACAAATGACCATTTCCATGGTACAAAGGACCATTTCTATGGCAAAAATGACCATTCCAATGAAACAAATAACCATTCATATGGCACAAATGACCGTTTCCATGGTACAAATGACCATTTTTTTGGCACAAATGACCATTTCTGTGGTAGAAATGACCATTTCTATGGCACAAATGACCGTTTCCATGGTACAAATGACCATTTCCACGGTACAAATGACGATTTTTATGGGACAAATGACCACTTCTGTGGCACAAACGACCATTTTTATGGTACAAATGACCATTTCTATGGCACAAATGACCATTTTTATGGC